TAAGTATGGTTTAAACCTGCGGGTACCCAAGTCGCAGCAGAATAAGAAGCCACCGAGGCCGCCGCCTCCCAAGGTCCTGGGGTTTGGGGACGATGAAGATGACAATGTGGAGCAAGAAATTTTGCGGCAAGCTAGCAAGAACAAGTCTCTTAAAGACGTAAGCTTGGGGAGAAAACTTCACATTAATAATGTTGTTCATTGATGTCTTCATAGTTCTGTGTCCGCTTACTTCAGTCTTTTTGTTTTTGAAGGTTGAGGAGCAACATAAGAAAGCGTTGGAGGAGGACCCGTCGGCGTTTGATTATGATGGAGTTTACGATGAGATGAAGCAAGCAGTTGTTCGGCCACGGATTGAAGATAAACAACAGAGAAAGGTACATACATCTCTTCAATTGTAGACCTCTGCTCAAATAGTAATCATAGTTTAGAGTTCCAACCTTAAAGAGTGTTGGTGCTTTGGCAAAAAATTTCCTCTTGTCTATGTATCTGAATTTTCTCCACATTGCTTCATTCCAGTAAGAACTCATTTCTTGGTTCAGTGAATGTGGAAGATTAGCTTCAGATGTTAGCAATTTAGGATTGAGCTACAGATTTCTGATGCTTGGTTCTGATGCAATTGATGAGTGTTCTTTCTTTGCTAATTTGTCATTTTCCAGTCCTTATTGATTTCCTTGCATTGATAGAGGATGATGATAATGCATCATGAAGATCGGAATACTTATCAGAAGTAGGCAGTAGCTGCTCCTTTAGTAACTTGAATGAGGCTTGTATAAGATCTTGTTATATCCATGTTTCTAACTGCATGTTTATCCTTATGACCGTGCTTGTGCTTAAGTATTAACTCTTTGTTTAGATTTTTGGCTCTTGCCTTGGTCTAATATCTTCAGAAGATAGGAAACCAGGCGAAAATATTGTTTATTTGCAGGATGTAACTGATTATGGTGCTTCTCTTTGCAGCCCAAGTACATCGAGGCTCTGATTCAGAAAGCAAAAGAGAGGGAACGTCAACAGGAGGTAGTGTTCGAGCGAAAGATTGCCAAAGAAAGAAGCCAAGACGACCATCTTTATGCCGACAAGGACAAATTTGTTACGAATGCCTACAAGAGGAAACTTGCTGAGCGGGAGCAGTGGTTGAAAGAAGAAAAACTCCGTGAACTCAAAGAGCAGAAGGACGACGTGAGTGCAGCTTATTTTTCTTTCCTTACTGATTCTTTTATAAAAAACTCTTATCTATTATCTTTTGAATATGGCGGCGAAAATAATTGCCATGAATGATCGATGTTTTTGCCTTACTATGGGTGACTAAATTACTGTTTTTCCTTTGAAAGGTTACCAAGAAGAGCGATTTGACCGACTTTTACTTCAACCTCACCAAGAACGTTGCATTCGGTGGTCAAGACGCAGAGACGAGGCGGCAAGAGAAGCGGGCTGCTGAAGCCAAGAAGGCGGAGGAGGAGAAGCAAGATGTCGGGGAATCCTCAGCAGGAGGAGTAGGAGGATCAAAGGCAACCCCCTCATCGCTACCGGAGTCTGAGAAGCCATTGGATCCCTCACCGGACCCTGATTCTCAAACACATCTCGAACCTACAGATCTCAAGCCAGCAGCTGATAAACCGGTCTCTGATGATTCTTCATCAGTACCCGCAGAAGAAGTTACCACAGAGGAGCAACCACCACCGGCTAAGCAAGCTACAGCTGACCATTATAAGAGAAAGCAAGATGAGATCAATGCAGCGAGAGAACGTTTGTTGGCCAGAAAGAGAGCAAAACTGCAGCAGCAGCTACTGTAGGGTGGTGGTAAGGACTAACTAGTCCTGTGCATCAAGGCGGGTGACTTGTGCTGTGAAATTGTGGGAAGTGAATTCTTGACCTGTAAGTTTGTCACTGTAATTGCTTACTGATTGTTACGAGGTCTTGCCCTCATGTGTGTTTGAGCTGTTTGAAAGCATTTTGATTAGAAACTCAAACTAAAGCCATGAGGTCTGCACCTTACCGTGTGATGAATGTTGTTAACCATTGGCAGAATCATTGGTTAGCTATCTTCTTCACCAGAGTCTTTGTGTTTAGAACCATAGTATTTGTCACACTGATTTTCTTTTTCATACAATGCAGCCAAAATTGACAGATCGTGCAGCTAGTGCTATGACTTTTGGCAGCAGTCATTTGCCCTTCTTTACTACATGTTTGCCGACAGAGTTCATTCAAAGGGGGAAGAACAATAAACAACTAAACTTTAGATACTTATCCTGCCTCGAGATTGAAAGGAAATGACATCAATTTTCCTCTTACTTACGTGTCAAGAACTAGTTCGTTAAATAATTTGAATTAATGGAAGAAGTACAAACATTGGATTATCACATTTAAAGTAAAATAATACAAAAGAGTTATAATAATTTAAATGCCCGAGATTCCATTGCCTATGTAAGAAACAATAATTAATTACTTATGTCCTAATCATTTGCTTAAAGATGAGGGAAAGATAGGAGGATAGTAGTTGCGGGGAATATGGCAATTTCAAGTGGAGTACAGATTTAAAGAGAAGCTTATAGAAGATCTATTTAGGACAAAGAGATAAAAAGGCATTTGGCCAAAATTGACGATGGTATTGTGATTAAGCACTGAACATTTAAAATCATGATTTCATGAAACAAAGCAACGAACTATTAAGACTCTAGAAAAGTATATGGAAATGATACCCAGATCATGAATGTACAAACTTTGGGAGATGTATTTCAGTGCATTTTTTCAATTATATTTTTTTGCAAATGAAGATAAATCATGATTCGTTATTCAAGAATAATCACAGGGGATTCAAAAACACACGATCTGATCACTATTTTTTATAAATGAATTTCTCCATTGATGTACATATGACTTGCACTATGAATTTTCTATCCAAAATCAATATCTTTGTCATTGAGCGACATAATTCATACACAACTATACCTGATCCATATTTTTACCACCAAACAAGAATCAATCATCCAAACCATTCTAAAATTCTTTCCAACCCCATAATCAATTCAGTTGGTGTTGTAGATTACCACTTTCTTTCTCCACTCAAAGAGTCTTATAGATCCATCAAAACTCTACCACCTTAGCCCCTTTACGTGTTTGTTTTTTTTACCATTTTCAACCGAAACATTTCATCATGGTGCTAATTAAAGGTCAAACGATCTAGTGAAGTGTCAATGAAGCCACCAATGAGAAAGCAAAACGAAACAAGACTTATATACCATCATTCCTCCCTCGTCGATCTTAACTAATTACTTGGTTGAATCTAGGCATCTATGACGTTACTAAAAACTCTTAAAGTACTTAAGGGTATTTCATTAAGTGCCTTAAAACTTGTGGAAGTTGTATTGCTTGCACCCTTTAACACTTAGAAATGTGGGAGTTGTTGTTACTCGCCACCCTAAAAAACTGAAATATTTGACCGACTTTAGGATCCCCTCACTAGCTAGTTCAACTTTAGGTAACCAGATTGTGGAGCGAGAGCGAGAGCGTCAAGTTTGAAAGAACTCAATATTGAAACCATAAACAAATCATTAATATTATATTAATAAATAAATTTATAATTTGTTTCTTTCACAACTGAAATATGTTTTTATCTCTTTTTCATTTATTAAAATTCGATTGAAAACTTAGAAAATTAAGTTATGAATGATAGCAATTGGGAAAGTGTAAAAATTGAAAAGAGAGAGTTTTTTTTTTTGATATGGCAGAATAGAAAAGGAATAGCCTATGGGCTCGAAGGAAATATCCTTCCTCATTGTATGCGGGTCAACTTCTCATATGGGCTAAAAAAATTAAAGCCCACAATTAAAGTTGCAAGTTGCAACACCGAAAGAGAAGTAACCTCTGTTCGTCGTCTAGAACCCAGAAAACAGAGACCGCTTGCACTTTACCTATCTCTTGGATCCCCCGCCATCGCTGCATCTCTCTAACACCAGCTTTCGCATCACAGTTGTCGCCATGAACGACATAAATCATAATCGCAACAAAGTTACAGTTTTGAAGCCTGGGGCACTCGAGGAATCCATCACAAGTTCGATCTATGTTTTGAAGTTCACCAAAACAGTGCAGCGGCAAGAAAACTCGAGGAATTCAGAACATGTAGCAACGTTTTTTCATAGCATGCGTCATCTGTCTAACACACCCATCGTCGGCGGTCGTTGGCCCTAGTTACCTCTTATATGGGAGTGCTCCAAGAAATCGCGCTCTCCCGAATCAAAGTCACGCTCCAAGGAACTACGTAGGCCTATAATTCCTCATCATTTTATGGGAATCTTATTGATTCATCCCCATAAACTTAAAGAGAATGTTATGCTCCTCATTTAAACTTTCACTGGAGTGGGGACTGGTGTTAGTGGCCTAACTCTTGACATTTTCACTTTAAATTAGTTAGTGGTGATATACTACCAATAGAAAGACATAAACATAACAGCTTAAAGTAAATATTGAAAGCTCATCACTCAAAACCGTAACTCAAAAAACACGCTTTATCAAACACAAAATAAATCAAACACTAACACACATGTCACATTAAACAAATACTTAAAACATGTAAAGTATAGAATTTATCCCTTAAACCACTCATCTTATACTTAGTCATTTTTTTTACAGTAAAAAAAAATGACTAAGTCATTGAACGTCGTGGATGTGATCGGCTTTGCTTGCTATTTTGCGCCATTCTATTCCGATTAATGCCAGTATTAACTCCAAAGAATTTCTCCTCGTAAAGATGGTTCCAAACTTCACTAGCTAGTATGATACTTAACCACCCCATTCACCATAACCAATTCACTTACACTAAGTGTGCGTTTGAATTGCTGAATTTTCTTTTTTTTGGTGAAAAATAGCTGAATTTGAAATGCACGCATTTGAAATGCCTAGGATTTAAAGTTCATTGTTTGGATAGATGTGTATTTCAAATACATGATTTCAATTACCAAAGAAGTAAATTCTACTGTTTGGATATTTAGTTTTAGTTGCAGATAATGGTTTTGATTGGCGAGACTGGTTCTGGAAAGAGCACTCAGTTGGTTCAGTTCCTTGCTGATTTTGGTATAGGATCGAGTGAGACTGTTATATGTACACAGCCGAGAAAGATTGCAGCCATCTCAATTGCTGACAGGGTGAAAGGAGAATGCCGTGGCTGCTATAAAGACAGTAACAATTCTGTTATTGCTTATCCAGCTTTTTCCTCCAACCAGCAGTTTGGTTATGCAACAGACCATTGCTTGCTGCAGCACTTAACGAAAGACAGGAACTTGCCTGGGATTTCTTGCTCACGAAAGAAGCTTGAGCACTGATTTACTCTTGGCTTTAATCAAAAGTTTACTGCTTGATCATCACACGAGATTTGAGGGTTGTGATCATGTCTGCTACGGCTGATGCAAACCAGCTATCAGATTACTTGTTTGGCTGTGATGTGTTTCATTTGTCAGGGAGAAGCTTCCCAGTTGATGTGAAGTATGTCCCTTGTGGTGACAGTGAGGCCAGCACATCTATTGCCCCTTATCTGCAGGAGGTTGTCAAGACCTGTGAGGAGATTCATAGATCTGAGAAAGAAGGTACCATTCTAGCCTTGTTGACTTCTCAAGAGGAAGTAGAATGCGCTTTCGAGGATCAGTTTCGTGTTTTCGAGGACTTCCCTTCCAGGGAAAAGAAAGGTTATTTTTGCAGGATCAGCCAAAGTGGAAGAAGTGCACCTGGGGTATGCTATAGACTGTACACTGAATATGATTATAAATCGATGCCTCTTAATCAGGAGCCTGAGATTCATCGAGTGCATCTTGGTATTGCAGTTCTGAGGATCCTTGCTCTAGGAATCAAGAACATTAGTGAATTTGACTTTATCGATGCACCCAGTTCTGAAGCAATTGAAATGGGCATTAGGAGGAACCTTGTCCTGCTAGGTGCGATCAGACAGACGGAATGATGTGAACTATTATGAGCTAACATATGAAGGTTGGTGCTTTGTTAAACTTGGAATCGAGCCCCGGCTTGGCAAGCTCATCCTCAATTGCTTTCATGATGGCTTAGGTAAGGAGGGCCTTGTTCTGGCCAATGCTAGAAGCATATTCTGTAGAGTTGGTAGTAGAGATGATAAGAATAAAGCTGATTGTTTTAAAGTGCAGTTCTGCCATCACAGTGCTGACCTCTTCACTCTGCTATCTGTTTTCAAGGAATGGGAGGCTTTGCCTCCAGACCAGAGATATAAATGGTGCTGGGGCAACAGCATAAATGCCTAATCCATGAGAAGATGTCATGAAGCAGTTAAGGAACTGGAAGCATCCCTTCAGAGGGAACTCGATATTATTGTTCCAAGGCTTTGGCTTTGGAATCCTCATAAGTCTACAAGGCACGATAATCATTTGAAAAGGGAAATACTTTCTGCTCTTGTGGGAAATGTGGCAATGTACTCTGGATATGATCAAGTGGCAACGACCAGGAGAAGTGTTCGGCTACACCCTTGGTCTTCGTTACAGATGTTTGTTTGCTGAAAAGCCAAGCTGGGTTGTTTTTGGTGAACTCTTGTCAACCGTTAACGATTATTTGGTCTGTGTTACTGCCTTTGATTTTGAATCCTTGTCTACTTTGGACCCTCCTCCACTGTTATGATTTTCATAATATGGAGTGTCAGAAACTGAAATTGAAGAGAATGACTGGCTTGGGAAGTCTCCTTCTCAAAAGATTTTGTGGCAAGTACAATGGTAATTTGAAGTCTATTATCAAATGTGCTCAGCTTGCCTGTTCAGATGGAACGGATTGGTATTGAGGTGAATGTTGATCAGAATGAGATCCAGTTATATTACGTGTCATGAAGGACACGTGTCCTTAAGTTGCCTTGAGTAAGAAGTCATCTCATCCTTACTCGGCAGAAGTCTCAAGTTGGGATAATTCCCTTCTCAAGTTGGATAATTCCTTTGTTTTGGAATAGTTGCCTTCGTCTCTTCCTCCTGTACAACTAGGAGTCTACCTAGTTTGTTTCATATAAATAGCTTAGAGAAGCTCATTGTAAACCTAAGCTATTATCATCAGATCATCAATCAATAAGAACGGACTAAGAGCCCTAAGCTCTTCGTGGAATAGTCTACTCACATCGAGTAGGGAAACCACGTAAATCGAGTGTGTTGTCGTTTTATTGCTTCCACAAATCGTCTTTTACATGGTATCAGAGCGTACCTCGATCAACTAGGGATCTCGCTCTTCTCTCGTCGTGCCAAGGTAGCGCTCATCCGCCGCCATGGCGAAGGACGACGACGTCAAATCGGAGGATGAGATGCCTCTTCTCGAAGATGTCATTGGTCCGACATCTCCTCTCTATCTTCACCCCTCAGATGCACCTAGTCAAGTCTTCGTCGGTGATTTGCTCACCGATATGAACTACGGTGAATGGTCAGCCGAGATTTCCAACACGCTGGTTGCGAAGAATAAGCTCGACTTTGTACTCGGCACCATCCCTCGCCCGAAATCTGGTGAGCTACTGGATGCCTGGACCCGTTGCAATGCAATGGTAGTGGGCTGGTTGCGCAGCGCCATGACGAGGGAGCTCCGGAGCAGCTTGAGCACTGGCTTCACGTCCAAACAAATCTGGGACGAACTCAAGGAACGGTTAAGCACTGGCAGCCTTCCACGTCGCTACAAAATTCGCCGAGAGATAATGGGTCTGCGTCAAGATCGCTCCTCAGTTTCCAGTTTCTACGCCAAGCTCAAGCGCCTCTAGGATGAATGGCTGACCTTAGACCCTCCCGCAGCTTGTACATGCGGCAAGTGTGAGTGCCATGTCGAGGAGCGAACGCGTAGCTCTCATGAAGCCATGCGACTGCTCGATTTCCTGGTTGGGCTCGACGATGGATTCTCCACAGTTCGTACTCATCTTCTCTCCATGAAACCCATCCCATCCTTGGGCGAAGCATACCATGCTGTTGCTAATGATGAGCAGCAGAGGAGTCTTTCTAGTGAGCTTCGTCGCCGTACCGAAGCGGCTGCATTTCAGGGAAAGGGGGAGCAGCAGCAGCTTAATGGTGAGCGCATCCCGGAAGGGCGCCCTTTTTTCACACACTGCGAGAAACCGGGACACTTCAAGGCCACTTGTTATGAGCTAATCGGGTGGCCAACTCGCAGTGGAGATAAGGCTGAGAAGGGAGAGCGCCCACGTCGAAGAAAGCCGAACAAAAATCCTCGGCCAGATCCCCAAGCTACAGCAGTCGAGAAAGCTTTGTCGGCACCCATTCCTGGACTCACGCCATCCTAAGTGGAGCAACTTCGAGCTTTCCTCTCGTCCTCTTCGACACCTACAAGTAACCTTGCTGGTAAGAATCTTTCTTTTCAAGATACATGGATTATTGATTCCGGTTGTACTGAACATATAGCTAAAGATAAATTCTTGTTCGATGGTGAGTTGGAGCCTCATCCATCCCTACACGTCACGATCCCTAATGGCAAAGGGGTCCCAGTTCGTGGCATTGGCACAGCTAAATTAGCCAATGGATTTGTTCTACGTCGCGTTATGTCCCATATTTTCAGTGCAACCTCTTGTCGGTCAGTCGTCTCACAACAGATCATTCAGTCGCAGTGGTTTTCATGAGTAATTTCTGTGTTATCCATGACTTACACTCGAAGAGGATGATTGGGACGGGTAGACATGTCGACGGGCTGTATTATCTTCGTGTGGTTGATGGTGAGCATCCAATGGCTTTCAACGCGCGAAAGGTAGTCCGGGATACTTCGTTGTGGCATATGCGGCTTGGTCACCCCTCTCAGGCCAAACTCATGGCATTACAACCTCATATTTCCAGTACTTTGGTTTCGAATAAGGATCCATGTCCTTCTTGTCTTCAAGCCAAGCAAACTCGGCTTCCCTTTATGTCTAGTTCTATCAAAACTCAATCTTGTTTCGAACTCATCCATGTCGATATTTGGGGAGGGTATAAACAAGCTTCATTCAGTGGGGCACATTATTTCCTCACCATTGTGGATGATTACAGTCGTACCGTTTGGGTTTATTTGCTGAAATATAAGTCGGAAGTTGCTCGTTATCTACTCATGTTCTTTAATCAAGTCCGCACTCAATATGCTTGACGTGTAAAACGTGTGCAAACCGATAATGGCAGGGAGTTTGGGTTGCCTGTTTTACAGGATTACTATGAGCAGGAAGGAATCATACTACAGACATCCTGTACAGACACCCCTCAACAAAACGGGGTCGTAGAAAGGAAGCACCGCCACCTGTTGGATACTGCTCGAGCACTCCGTTTTCACTCTGGCTTGCCCACTCGTTTCTGGGGCGAGTGTGTCCTCACTGCGGCTTACTTGATCAATCGTTTGCCATTAACCTCCATTCAAAATCGTACTCCATACGAAGTTCTCTTTAGCAGGCCCCCACAGTTCGAGCACATCCGCAGTTTCGGGTGCCTTCTGTATGCAAAGGATACTCACCCTCATCTCTCTAAGTTCGCCCCACGTGGTCGAGCATGCATCTTCGTGGGTTATCCTTCCTCACAACGTGGTTACAGAGTTTATGACTCGGAGACCCATCAAATATACACATCCAGAGATGTTTTCTTTTTGGAGCACGTGTTCCCTTTTCAAAAGGACATTGTGCACCTGAGTTGCCCAGCTCCCTTACTCATTCAAGATGAAACTATCGATGATCACCCACTTGGCATTACAGCCGAGGGGCCGTCCTCCCATGCTCAGCCAATGCCACATCCTCCCATGCACGAGGACGTCATGCCCACGTCAAATTCGGCACCCCAGGCTGATTCCCTCCAACCAGCCGAGCAGGTTCTTCCTATGGCATCTCCCACTCCGTCCTCGGATCATCTCTCGGGAGATCCTACGCCAACTCCACCTAGCTCGCCATTGCCTCCCGATGCGACGACATCACCGATGGCAGCTCCACCCTCACCCGCTGCCGTCCTTCCTCGCTGCAGTGATCGCATTTTGCGTCCCTCCGTTCGTCTTGAGGGCTATGAAGTACAGATTCCTGGGAAGGCAAATTCCTCACGTGTTCGATACCCTTTGGAGGAGCACGTTAGTTATGATCGCTTGTCCCCTGCTCACAAGGCCTTTGTGGCCGCTGTCTCTCACGTGTTTGAGCCTCGACATTTTCATCAGGCTGTCCGCATCAAGGAATGGCGCGCTGCCATCCGTGCTGAAGTCGAGGCTCTTGTGGCGAATGGCACTTGGACCCTCACGACTCTGCCACCCGGGAAACGTGCAATTGCATGTAAGTGGGTCTATAAAGTTAAATATCTTCCCGATGGCACCATTGAAAGGTTCAAGGCTCGGTTAGTCGCAAAAGGATTTACTCAGGTTGAAGGAATTGACTATCATGACACTTTTGCTCCAGTTGCTAAGCTGGTCACCGTTCACTGTCTCTTGTCTGTTGCAGTCAGCAAGGGTTGGATTACTCATCAGTTAGACGTCAAGAATGCATTTCTCCATGGTGATCTTTCTGAAGAAGTCTACATGGAGATTCCTCAGGGCTTCGCCCAGGCTGGTGATACTCGTGTATGTCGCCTTCACAAGTCCCTCTATGGCCTCAAACAAGCATCACAGAACTCGTATCATCAGTTCTCGGCTGCCTTGCTCTCTCTTGGTTTGTTCAAAGCCATGCTGATCACTCTCTATTCATCCGCAAGACACCTACTAGCATTGTGGAAGCTTTGATCTACGTAGATGATGTCATACTCATCGGTGATGATTCTACCTTCATCCAACGCGTTAAGGATTTCCTTCACCAACAGTTCACTATCAAGGACCTTGGCCCCTTGAAATACTTTCTTGGCATTGAAGTTGCTCGGTCTAAACGTGGCATGGTTCTAAATGAGCGAAAATACATCCTTGACATCCTGTCTAATTGTGGCATCGAAGCTGGTCGTCCCATTTCTACTCCTATTGAACAAAATCACTAGCTCGGTCGCCTGCCATCCTCCCCTGCACGGGATCCATCTGGTTATCGGCGGCTTGTCGGTCGCCTTCTCTATCTCACAGTCACTCGTCCTGATATCCAGTATGCAGTCAACCTCCTCAGTCAAGGGGTTCATAGTCCAACCCAGGCCCATGTTGATCTGGCCAATCGTGTTCTCCGTTATCTCAAGCAGTCTCCTGGTAATGGTCTGTTCCTTCCGGTACAGTCTTCTCTCCTCTTAACTACATATTGTGATGCAGATTGGGGTGGATGCCATACCACTCGTTGCTCTACCACAGGTTATTTCATACGCCTCGAACATGCACCTGTATCCTGGAAAACAAAGAAACAAACTATTGTTGCACGCTCTTCCGCAGAGGCCGAGTATCGAGCCATGGCCATTACCGTTAGTGAACTCATCTGGTTGCGCTGGCTCCTTTCGGATCTTGGCTGCCCACAGCCTGCGGCCATACCTCTCTATTGTGACAGTCAAGCCGCTCTGCACATTTCTGCCAATCCAGTGTTTCATGAGCGTACGAAACACGTTGAAATGGATTGCCATTTCGTTTGAGAACGCGTTCAGTCTTCTGATATTGCTCCCTGCAAGATCGCCACAGCTGAGCAGCCCGCTGATCTCTTCACAAAAGGCCTTGGTCACACCCAGTTTCGTCACCTTCTTTCCAAGCTTGGCATGCTTGACATCCACGCCTTCGCTTGAGGGGGAGTATTACGGGGTCGTTTGCTTGTTGGATTTGAAAAATGAGGGTTTTGACCAACAAAAACCTTGGGATTTATGTTGGATTTATTGGATTATGGATATGAAGAGTCTAATGTTTGCATGATAGATTTGATGATGGATTTGTTAAATAAATAACTAACCATCAAGGATTTGCAAATCCCAAATCAATATGTGGGATTTACAAGTCCGTGGGGTCCACGGATTTGGTTCCAAAATAAAGACCAAATCCGTGGACCCCACGGATTTAGCACCCTTCAACAAACAATGGACTTATGTTAAATCCATCAACCTTGGAATTTGGTACCCAAATCCATGACCCAAATCCAACAAGCAAACGACGTGTCATGAAGGACACGTGTCCTTAAGTTGCCTTGAGTAAGAAGTCATCTCATCCTTACTCGGCAGAAGTCTCAAGTTGGGATAATTCCCTTCTCAAGTTGGATAATTCCTTTGTTTTGGAATAGTTGCCTTCGTCTCTTCCTCCTGTACAACTAAGAGTCTACCTAGTTTGTTTCATATAAATAGCTTAGAGAAGCTCATTGTAAACCTAAGCTATTATCATCAGATCATCAATCAATAAGAACGGACTAAGAGCCCTAAGCTCTTCGTGGAATAGTCCTACGCACATCGAGTAGGGAAACCACGTAAATCGAGTGTGTTGTCATTTTATTGCTTCCGCAAATCGTCTTTTACAAGTTATTTGCTATTTTAGAAAACATGGATAAGCTCTCTAGTCTTGTAGAGGAAGCTGTGGAGTATGAGCGGAGAGCACTACGTAACGTAATGAATGCATGGAGAGACGTCTCTACCATGGAGTTGGCGCTTCATCTTGCATAGCACTTCTTGGAGCTGGTTCTGAGATTAAGCACGGTGAACTTGAAAAAAGATCTCTGATTGTGGATGTATTTTCTCCAAAGGGTCAGGTTGTTGATGGTAAGGAAGGAACTCTTGACGTTTATCGAGGAATTCACGTGCGGTAGGTACTATTTGTTCTGTCCACAAGTTTTCGAATGGCCAACAAGTCGGTGACGAGAAGAAGTGGGGCAGGAAGGATAACCTTCCTTTCTCCTGATGCTGCTGTGCTGAGAAGGCATGTCAGCTGGATGGAGTTCCATTCAGTGGCTCCATGCTGAAAGTACGTGGTTCCCTTACAAACATGTTTGGGTTCTGATCATAAACTATTTCCTTTCCGAGCCGTGAAAGCAAACATTTATTTATTGGTCTCGTATGAATAGCTGGAGGGAGAATGTTGTGGTAGAGCCTTGGACTAGTTCTTGCGAAGACGCACTTTATGCGATTGATCTCTCCCTACGAAGAATCCAAATATCAGTTGTGCAGAGTCAAGATATTTCCGATGCCTCGTTGTATGAAAGCTTCAATTATCTTTGACGGGAGATTGCACTTGGAGGCAGCTAAAGCTTTGGAGTATCTGCAAGGGAAAGTACTGTCGGTATGTCTCCCGTGGCAGAAAATAAGGTGCCAACAGTTGTTTCATAGCTCATTGACCTGTACTGCACCAGTTTATTCTGTAATCAGGAAGCAAGTGGATTCGGTGCTTGAAAGCTTCATAGATAATGATAATGGTATGCTTTATGTACATTTCATCTGTGTTAATGATGGATATGCAGAGAATTTTTACTTATGCTTTGAATTTGTTTATTACTCTCAGGTCAGGTGTGGAATACAAGCTGGAGGAAGTTGCCAATGCTTCCTGGAGAGTAGAACTATTTGCTAATGCTACCAAGACAGTTGTGGAGCTGAGAAGACCACTGGAAAAGCTGATGAGAGGAAGGACTATAAATCATGAAAGCCTCACTCAGTCTAGTCTGTCTTAAGGCATCTATTCTCCCCACCTAGTATCAACTTGATGCGATCCATACAACAGCAGCACACAAACCTACGTACGTCCTCTTCGACAAGCGTAACTTCAATGTCACAGTTTTCGGTTCTCCGAGTAACACTGCTGCAGCTGAGAAGAAACTGATCCAATCCCTTCTGACGTACCACGAAAGCCAGCAGCTCAAAGTCCACAAACCGTAAGGGTCTTGACATTAAGGACTATCTACAACATGTGACAATGTTAGTGCTGATATAGAAGTTGATTCTGCTAGTCCGGGGAAGAAGCATATCACAATTCCAATACCATGAAGGGGTAATCTTGATTTCTGAAATTAAGGGACGTGAATAACAACGCTTTTGTGTTGGAAACCCTAAAACTTGGATTGTCTCATTGTAGTTTTCAGCTTATATAGCTGTTTACAGTAGTACAAGTGAGCTAGCACAAATGTAGAAGAAGACAAGGTTGCTTCAACTGCAAGTACAACCCGAAACGGGTAAAATGGCGAAAAATAGAAGATCATGGACTAAAGGTGTAAACGTCTATCCCGTCTTGTTTTTCCCTGAAACGATGTCGCTCCAGGTCTTGCCTGGTCTTGGTTGACTTAGTGAAACGCCGTCGTCGGGATGTTGGCTTCCGTCAGTTGGAAAAGTGGTGTCGTAGTGATGTTGGGGCTGAACGTCGTCGTCTGGAAGGCGGGATTGAGAAGAGTTCAAATGTTCTGAATTCTTCTCTGATAGCCCCCGGCAAGCTGGTGGGCAGAGTTCATGGACACCAAGCTTGGAGAGAAGGTGATGAAAGATGGCAGGGGAGAGAGCTTTGGTGAAGAGATCGGCCAATTGGTGAACAGTGGAGACGTGGAGGACCTTGATGGTGCCATGTTGAAGCTTCTCGCGGACGAAGTGACAGTCCAGCTCTATGTGTTTCATCCGTTCATGGAACGTTGGGTTCTCGGCGATGTAGATGGCCGATTGATTGTCGCAGTACAGCGATGCAACTTGAGGATGTGCAATTTTGAAGTCGTGAAGTAGGTAGAGCAGCCATTGCACTTCACATGTGGTGTATGCAAGGGCGCGGTACTCTGCTTCACAGGAGGAGTGGGATGTGGTGGTCTGCTTCTTGCATTTCCAGGACACCAGGGAGTCGCCCAAGTAGACACAGAAGCCGGTGACAGAGCGGCGTGTGTCGACGCAGGCGGTCCAATCGGAGTCACTGAAAGCCTTCAAGTGGAGAGATGATGAAGAAGGGAAGAAGAGACCAGTGGAGGGAGCTGACTTGAGGAACCTCAATATTCTGGTCACAACTCTGAAATGTGAATAGCTAGGGTTAGACATGTATTGGCTTACTTGTTGGGTCGCGAAACTGATGTCAGGCCTCGTCGTGGTGAGGTAAATGAGCTTGCCAACAAGTCTTCTGTAGTGTTCTGGATCAGGGTAGGGATCATCATGTTGAGCTGTCAAGTGTGTCTTGTAATCAATGGGTGTAGTGACTGGTTTGGTGTTGATCATTGATGCATCATCCAGAATCTCCAATGTATATTTTTGTTGAGAAATGTGAATCCCAGAAGTGGATCTTGATACTTCAATCCCCAAAAAGAATTTCAAGTCACCTAAGTCTTTGATACTGAATTCTTGATGCAAATAGTCCTTGATGTTGATTATTTCAGTCATCTCATTGCCTCCAATGACGAGGTCATCAACATAGACCAGAGTGCAGGTGTAGGAGGATGATGTTGCTTTGTAGAACAGTGAATGGTCCACCTTGCTAGATGTGTAGCCTTGAGAATGAAGTATCTCAGCAAGCTTGGAGAACCATTGTCTCGATGCTTGTTTGAGACCATAGAGTGATTTCTTTAGTCGACAAACAGGGTTCTTAATACCTGGGGGTGGAATGTAACCATCTGGAAGTTTCATGTAAACACATTCCTCCAAATCTCCATGGAGGAATGCATTGTTGATGTCTAACTGATTCATATGCCAATTGTGGATAGATGCCAGAGCTAGGAAGAGTTTGATTGTAGTCATTTTCACAACAGGGGCAAATGTATCTTGGTAGTCAATGCCTGCTTGTTGTGTGTAGCCCTTAGCAACTAGTCTTGCCTTCCTTCTTTCTAGGCTACCATCAGAGAGGAATTTGAACTTGTATATCCACTTGTTGCCAATGATTTTGACATTGGGAGGAGCCTCCACAATGTCCCAAGTCTGGTTCTTGTCAAGAGCTTGAAATTCATCCTGCATTGCAGCATTCCAAAATGGAGACAAGATTGCTTCCTTGAAGGATTCTGGTTCTTTATAGGAAGATATGCTCAATGCAAAGTGTCTGTCAGTAGGAGACAAGTGATCATATTGAATAACTTTACTGAGTGGGTAGGTGATACCTGGACAGTGCTGTTGAGTAAGATGACTGGTGGAAGGAAGCTGCTGAAGCAGGTTGCTATGGAATAGTTGGAGGTGAGATGGTGGTTTAGGAATTCTGGTGGATTTCCTAGTAGGAATGACAGGTGGAGGGGGTGGTGGTGGTGGGGAAGGTGGGGTGGGAGAGGGAGGGTGGGGAGGAGTAGGATTGTGTGGATCAGTGTCTGTGTCACTATCAGTATCAAAATGGATGGTGTTTAAGTTAGTGAGAGTGTGAGAGGGGATGGTGGGGGGCTGGTAAGTGGGGCTGGGATCATCAAAAGAGGAAGGGGTAAGGTTGGGATTGTAGAGGTCAGTGTGAAGGGAGGAATTAGTTTCATGGTGGAATGGAAAGTGGTTTTCACGAAATTGAACATCCCTTGAAGTGAAGATTTCATGGGAAGTGAGGTCATAGATCCTGAACCCCTTTATTCCAGATGTAAAGCCAATAAAAATGCCTTTTCTGGCTCTGGGATCAAACTTGGCTCTATGGTTGGTGAGCGTGCTTGCAAAACACTGGGAACCAAAGACTCTGAGGTGAGAGAGGTCTGGTGGTTTTTTGTGTAGTTTTTCAAATGGTGTGAGATTGTTTAGGACAGGAGTTGGAACACTGTTGATTAGATGCACAGCATGTTTCACACAATCTGCCCAGAAACCAGGTGGGAGATTGGCTTGAAATTTTAGAGCTCTGGCAACAGCAAGTATGTGCTAGTGTTTCCTCTCTACTTTGCTGTTCTGTTCAGGGGTTTCAACACATGATTGTTCATGGAAAATGCCAGTGTTTTGAAAAAAATCATGCATCCTGAACTCTTTGCCTTGATCACTTCTGATTCTTTTAACAGGAGTGTCAAACTGTCTCTCAATGTAATGACAGAACTCTTGTAGTTTAGGTCTGACCTCAGATTTGGCTTGTAACAGAATAACCCATGTCATCCTAGAGAAATCATCTACAATGGTAAAAAAATATCGATATCCATCATAGCTAGGAACAGGGTTTGGCCCCCAAATATCAGTATGTATCAATTGAAAAGGATTCTCAGTTACAGTTGAACTGGAAGGAAATGACAGCCTCTTCTGTCTAGCAAAATGGCATACATCACAGGGTACAGAGCTGTATGTTTCTATAGATGTACACAGTTCCTTCAAAAGTGGTATTTTGGAATGGGAGACATGCCCTAATCTATGGTGCCAAAGGTCAAAAGGTGCACTACTAGTTGCAGTAGTGTGTTTAGGTATAGTAGAGCTATCTATGTTGTCTAATAGGTAGAGGCCATGGGACAGCTTAGCAGAACCAGTCATCCTCCTCAGCTGCATGTCCTGAATCAAGCACACATCAGAAAAGAAAGTTAAGCAAAGTGATTTGTTCTTGCTCAACTTACTGACAGACACTAAGTTGAAGTTAAACTGAGGAACATATAAAGCTTCCTCAAGCACCAGGTCTGGGAGACATCTCACAGTTCCTGAGTGACTAGCTTCAACTCTTTGTCCAGTGGGAAGTGTGATGTAAACACCACTGATTTGTTTGTGGTGTTGAAGAAGATCAAGGGAACAAACAATGTGATCGGATGCCCCAGTGTCTAGGATCCATACCTGGTTGTATGGACCCTTGTTTTGTGCATTGAAAACATATTTACTTGAGGATTCTGGTTTGATAGTAGTGAAAACTGCAGCTGAGAAGCTTGGTCCAGGGGAGGCTTGAGCATTCTGACTCATCATCTGCATAAACTTCTCATACTCAGCTTTAGTAAGCTTGACTTCTTGCCGACCCTTGTCTCCATTCATTGTGGTGGCTGCATTGACTTGAGGTCTCCCTCTTCCTCTTCCAGTTCCAGGAGGGTAGCCATTCTTCTGATAGCACTTGTCTTCTGTGTGGCCAAGTTTTTTTGCAGTGAGTGCACTCAACTGGTCTTCCAGTAGCATTCACACCCCTAGGAGTCATGCCTGGTGGCCAGCCATGTTTGTGATAACAAACAACTTCAATATGCCCTAGTGCTTTGCAGTAGGTGCAATAGGGTCTGGTCCTTTTGTTTGCTTGTATATTGCTGTGGAAAGCAAAGGCAGTGCTCTCAGCAGCTAGGGCCTTGGCTTGATGGCTCCCATACTGCTGTCTCTCATGTTGAAGCATCCTCTAGAACACCGTATCAATGGAGGGGAGGGTGTCCTGAAACAGAACCTGTGACCTAACTGTGCTATAGTTCTCATTGAGTCCCCTGAGGAACTGAATGACATAGCCAGTGTCCCTGTAACCCATGACCTGTCTCATAGCCCTACATGTGGAGTGGCTGGTGGGAGTGCAGTCACAAGGATCTAAAGGCTGATAGTTGTCTAGTTCATCCCTCACAGCAATCATATCACCATAGTACTCAGTTAGGGTTTGGTTACCTTGTTTCATGGTGGCCAGGGCCTCTATCAGCTATGCTATCCTCACCATATCCCCTTGTCCATATCGAGCCCTTAAGCTTCTCCAGGCTTCTGTAGCTGTCTTGAAAGACATGATTGTCTTCCTAATCCCATGCTCAACTGCTTGTTGGATCCAAGACAGGACCATGATGTTGTTCCTGTTCCAAGACCAGGCTTGTGGGCTGTCTGCTGCTGGTTCAGCCAGAGTGCCATTGATGAACCCAATCTTGTTCTTGGCTCCTAGTGCATTGTACATCGCTTTGTTCCAATCATTGTAGTTGGCGGTGGTGAGTTTCTCCGCCACCAATATTTGCCCTGGTTGTTCAGAGCCATGAAGGTAGTATGGATCTGCCATTGGATCCTGAAGTGTGGTGGTGTGTGCAACATTGGCGTTGGCTGCTGCATTTCCTCCATCAGTGCTCATATTCACATCATCCATTATTGTGGCGGCGCCTAGGGTTCAAGAGAACCAGGCTCTGATACCATAACATCGCTTTTGTGTTGGAAACCCTAAAACTTGGATTGTCTCATTGTAGTTTTCAGCTTATATAGCTGTTTACAGTAGTACAAGTGAGCTAGCACAAATGTAGAAGAAGACAAGGTTGCTTCAACTGCAAGTACAACCCAAAACGGGTAAAATGGCAAAAAATAGATGATCAGGGACTAAAGGTGTAAATGTCTATCCCGTCTTGTTTTTCCCTGAAACGATGTCGCTCCAGGTCCTGCGTGGTCTTGGTTGACTTAGTGAAACGCCGTTGTCGGGATGTTGGCTTCCGTCAGTTGGCAAAGCGGCATCATAGTGATGTTGGGGCTGAACGTCGTCGTCTGGAAGGCGGGATTGAGAAGAGTTCAAATGTTCTGAATTCTTCTCTGATAAGGGGTCATCTTCCCCCCACCCCGCCCATTCTTGTTGGTTTTTGACAAGTTACTTGGAGCAATAAATAGTAACCTGTTTTGCAGGCCATCAATCTGGAGATCGAGCAGCTAATGAAAAACCGTGATATCTGTCTTGAAGCACTTAATGCATATGATGACTCCTTGAAAACGGTTCGAAAGTAAATCAGTTCAGCAAATGCTGAAGACCAAATAGCTACAGAAAAAGAAACCAATGAAGATGAAGAAAAGAATGGAGAAGAAGAAGCCTTGCTTCCTCCCGTTATCCCGCCTGCTGATGTCACAACGAAGGAGAAAAATAGGCCAAAACGGAAGAAAAAATATCTAAGCAAGATGCAAACACAGCAAAGCTGGGTGAAAACATGTTCAAATGAGTAGTTTAATGTTAAGCAATTGCAAAGGGTCTCAGCTTTTGATTTGAAGCAACAACCCTTAGCATCATCAAGGAGTGAAGAGAACTGTTAGATAACAAATCTTAGCATCTCGAGTCTTTCAGAGAGCGAACTGGTTTAGAACAAACTGGCTTTGAGATAACAAATCTTAACATATTAAGACAGTCTCAGAGGATATGCCTATTGAGTCAGAACGATCGCCCTCTAGAATAACTTTTTGTTGCTAAAATATTTTTTTTGCTAACATATAAATAGGACCATTTCACTTAATTCCCCCAGTGGTAATGGTGAGGAGGAGGCTCGTGCATTCCCTGCTGCAGAACGCCTTCTTTCCCCTGCAAAACCATTGTAATCCAATGAGGACCCATTTAACTTCACCTCCAAAGGCGAGTCAACCATTATCTACTGCGACCTCCAGAAGTTGTACTTTTAAGTGCAAAAAATTCAAAGCATAGTTATATCTCTCAACCAGGTTATCACTTATGACATTTTATGCTTCTACTTTGGGCTTCAGAATTTACATAATCCAATGTTGTTGTACATGTATATTCTCTTGGTACGAAGGAAGAAGGAAGAAACTGACTAACTAACCTATAGCTTGAGAAGCTCGCAGTAGTTGAAGATGCCGTAGCAGGTGTCGACGATTGCATCATCAAAGATGCGAGTGATTATGGGAACATGACCGCGGGAGATGATGCAGGAGTAGTCTTCAGAGAGCTCCATTTTGCCGGCAGTGAAGACCCGCGACAGTGGTGGTGAATTCAGTATTCACCATCGTTGTTGATAGCTCGGCTCAATGGTGGAGCTCACCAAACTACTCACCCAGCGCCACTCCAACCTCGTCGCCTCCGTCCTCCTCATATGAAATAGAAATTGTATTTCATGGATGTGGATGGTCTAAGGGGTCATATTCTGATAACCCCCTAAGCAGGTGGTTTTGACCAGAGAAGCGCAACTCGGATTCAATTCAAGATTGAATTAAATTCTGGTGAGAAAGAACACAAAAACAGAGTCTTGTGTTCGAGATTGAACCTTTCGTGCAACTTTCATGAAGGGAAAGAGGCTCGATTGGTGTCGTCGATGCTTGGCCACGAACAAGGTGAGTACTTGAACGATACAAGCTCAAGACCAGACCTAGATTTGGCTAGGTTGATCTCTCAATTCACAAGACAAAACCTTATGAAATCTAACTCTCGGTTTGTTATTCAATTCTACGAAATCTGAAAAATTACAACGAATCAAAGCAATTTAAATAGACCTAGCCAATCCTACCACTCTTAGAAGAACAGTAAAGGAATTCAACACAGAACAATTGAGAAAGGAATTCAAAACCAACAACGAAAAGTAATTAAACACAGAACAGCAAAGGAATCCTAATCCAATAAAGATTCAGATTGCCTGGTTTCCAAAGACAGAAACTCACCTTCGATACAATCTTTGGAGCTTTCGTTCGAGGCCTTCTAGTATTCATTGCAGTCATCCAATGTCATGTCGTTGTAGTAGAAGAAACCTACTTTCATGAGGTATGAATATGGAAAATCGACTCTTCCTCAATCTCCAGGAATCGAGCTCCAAAGTACCCTCCTCGAACTGTCTCCATGCCTTAGTCTTTTTTTCTACCAGTTTTCCGGTTTCAACTTCCCCTTTTGCACAGGCTGTAAAACAACCTTCTGGGTTTCCAATTGATCTCCAAAGCATGTCAATGTGTCGAGGGTGAGACCAGATTCTAAACAAACTCTGAAACATCCATTTCCATCGAGCCAATAAAGAGTTTCACACGTCCAAAGTTGGCTACCTGAAACTGTAAAAGGACTTGGCCAAAATTCAGTGTTCTTTAATGTACTTAGCTTACCATCTAGTGATGGCAATGAGGCGGAGCGGGGCGGGTACCTCAATTCCCATGCCCCGCCCCACGCTACTACGGGTCGGGGCGGGTAAAACCCGCGCGGTTACGGGACGGGACGGGTCGACCCACTCTTACATGTTGTTAAAAAAAATACACGTAAATTTTACTTTTTACAATAAAACGTAGGGAAAAAAACTTTAAGAATGAAAAAAATTGATAATAGAATGGATAATTGAGCCTAACAAGTTGAAAGATCGACTGTAACTAGTTGAAGAAAAGTCAAAATAGGAGAAATATGTATAGATATTGTAAGAAATTGAGATAAAATGAGTCTAGAACGGGGCGGGGCGGGGCAGGGCGGGTCGGAAGTAGATACCCATGCCCCGCCCCACGCTACTGCGGGTGGGGTAATACCCGCGGGGCGGGTTGAAATTGCCATCACTATTACCATCTTGATTAATCAATTCCAGCTTGATTGAGGGAAAATTTGGGATCATATCAGTGTAACGACCCGATTCTTTTTTTTGAAAACCAAACCATAACTCAAACCACAAACCGGTTACTTCAGAGCAACCCAAAACAGGTTTACAAGTCAAAACCAAAAATCAACAACCACAATGTTTAAGATTTTCAAGTGAAATGCTGTAAACACTTGGGCGACCTCAACTCAGAGCAACAAAACACAAAACACAATCCTTGAGTTTCCCAGTATACTCATTAAGACATGAAACTAAAGGCAGACATATATGGGAGGTCCCATCTCATTACCCAGATCCAGTTGACATCTTCAGGTTTGCCGCTGCTGCTCTCCTCGAGTAACCTCCTCTTGATGGATGCGTCCTCTTCCCCTCTCTGCACCTGGTGAATGAGAAGGGGTCAGTCTCGTCGTTACTTCCTAAGGTCTTGGCCCTAAGAAACACCTCACTAAACCCGTTATTAGGGTTCTTGATTTAGAAAAAAGCCGTTCTCGCTTTCATCCCTTATACTTTGTTATCAAACAGTCTATAAGAGATCTCTACTCCTATCTTATCTTTAGAATTTTCTTACTTATATTCTGAATCCATAGACACCAACACTAGGGACCACCGCGTTAAATCTCGCCGTCCGGTTGCATATCCAAACTCGGCAATGGCACTGCGTTACGTCTCGCCGTCCAGTCCATGCCCGTCAACTACTGCGTTACGTCTCGCCGTCCAGTAGTGACCCAACCGCCCCAGGGTTCATCGTATCATCAACCAACTATTACAATCATACATCCATACATTCATACATAGCACAACGCGTGCCTCCACGCTTACAGGCGGTGGGATGCCTCACACACATATCGCGCATTACTCAAAATTAACTCATAATAACTTGAACGAAAAGCATAAGCTAAAAGACCTACGACAGAGATTTTACCCCCTTTACACTAACCTCGAAAAGATGAATCCTCGATTCCTTCCTCGAAGAAACCCCTCCTTAGCCGGATTATCTTGGGGGAAACCTATTGATAAGAATCCATTTTCTTAGACGACCTTTCTCGATTTAAAACCCCTTTTGAATCACTAGAACACCCTCTCCTCAATCTCCAGTCCTCGAGCCTCATCCCAAAGGTCCCTTAACCCCCATTAAAATTTTTCTAGAAATAATCCCTTCAAAACCGACCATTTTTCTTAATTAATTTTATCTTGGACGAATTTTTCAACTAACTTGAACCTCTTTAAAATTTCGAATAATAATTTTCCCATGTCAATCATGCGCACCTATACCCTGGAAAATTATCAAACCCTTAAATACTCATTGGAAAGATTTTTATTTAATTAAAACAATTATTCGATCAATTTCTAAAAATAGAAATACATCTTCAAAAATCCCAAAATTAAATTACAACCATCTCCTAGACTTCCCTCAATTTATAAAATTATTAAATCTAGAAACAAACACCCACAGAGACTCGGAAAAATAAAAAAATCCAAAAATACATTTTTGGAAATTCTCAGCAGCTTTAGTGACAATCCAAAATATGTAACTAAAAACCTGTAACGCTTGTTGCTAAACATCCAGAATTGTACCCTCACAAAAAATCACCAAATTTATCGATCTAACTCAAAGGGATTGAGTTCTCTTACCTCTAGAACGTGCCTAGGCCTAGGTTAGATGACCCGATACGTTCATCTCCTCGTTGAGCGAACCCTCAAACGGCACCGCTAATAAAATACGAGCTTCAGATTAGACTATCAATGAATCGAGTTTAGAAATCGGGAAGGGTTCGCGATCCTTACCTAGTACCAAGAAAGGGATGAGATCGGGATCGGGGTCGATATTCGGCTGCGAGCGGCACTGCCTCTTTCTCCTTTCTTTCTGGGCGGGTTTATTCTGGGGAATAATCACAGAGAGGGCCGGACAGGTGTTTTGGCTGCTGGGGAAAAAGAATTGGAGAGGGCTGGGGTTAAAGGGTTTTTTTTTTGGGGTAAACTAAAGTGGAGGTCGGCCTCTTGGCTCCCCACTAATCTGTACATATTTATTTTTAAAGTAATAAAAATAATAATTGTTAGGGTGTGCCTACGGTAACATGCATGTCACGGTGACTTGCACTTTCCGGTCGACCTCAGTTAGGATTAAGTCGAACTCATTTAGAATTCGGTCGACCTCATTTAGGATTCGTTCGACCTCATATAGGATCAAGTCGACCTAATCTGTTGTTTCAGTGTAAAAACAGTTCATGGTGCATACTTTGAATATTCATATCTTACAATTGGCTAGATGGAAATTGGATATTAAAGGCTTATTTTGAAGATGAAGTGTCCCTCTACACATTAAAGTACTTGGGAGCTCAATAGAAAGTCCAGAAGACCATTTTTGAACCTCATCAAAAGGCTATGCCAAAACTGGGAAACTGCCTGGAAATGGCTAAGTCTGGAAAAGTGTTTGTGAAGCCTATTTTGGAGCTCAATTCGAGAAGCAAGAATGCGAGTCCAGGAGCCTATACCACGTTAAATTAGGTATGTTTTTATACAAATTCAAGGCATTGAATGAAAGATTGGATATCTGTAAGGCTTCAAACAAAAGGGTCGAAGTTGCTACGAAGGCTTTTTTCTGGCAGACTTCGAGCACAACCAAGCTGCCAGAAAAACAGCCTTCGTAGAAACTTCGAGCCTTTTGTTTGAAGCCTTACAGATATTCAATCTTTCATCCAATACATTGCCTTTGTATAAAAAAATACGTAATTTAACGTGGTAGAGGCCCCTAGACTTGACTCGCATCCATGCTTCTCAAATTGAGCTCCAAAGTAGGCTTGACAAACACGTTGCCAGACTTAGCCATTTTCAGGCAGTTTCCCAGTTTTGGCATAGCCTTTTGGTCAGGTTCAAAAATGGTCTTCTGGACTTTCTATTGAGCTCCCAAGTACTTTAATGTGTAGAGGGACACTTCAGCTTCAAAATAAGCCTTTAATATCCAATTTCCATCTAGCCAATTGTAGATATGAATCTCCAAAGTAGGCACCATGAAACTGTTTTTACACTGAAACAACAGATTAGGTCGACCTGATCATACATGAGGTCGACCGAAAAGTGCATGTCACCGTAGCAAAATCCTAATTATTATTATTATTATTATTATTATTATTATTATATGTCCTTAAAGGTCAATTAATTAATGATTAAACCTCCCAAACAGGACGATTTCGTGCTTTGCAACAAAATGCAGCTGGGCCAATCAATAGGTTGGAGCCTGGGTCACCAATTCCCATCGAGAGTGACGCGTAGCTGCTTCCTAAACGGCACCCATTTCTGGGGAAGCCGGAACTTTTGATGGATTTGAGAGGGAAGGGGAGAAGAAAGAAGCGGTAATCAACTCAATTTCCATTTTAATGCTTGTGGTAACCGCAGATGCTCCTGGAGAATTTGAGGAGGAGAAGATGATCATCAAAATCAGTTTAGTTCTCCGATGGCTTTGAAACCAATTTTGTTGGATTTTGATGAGCGCAACGCCAGCAAAATAGAGCTGAGCTCGGTGAAGAAACTGTTGATGTCTCCGATGAGAGGGAGATTGGTGATTAGTGAAGACGGAGCGAGATGATGCATTGGCAAACCAAGCATCGCAGCACACGAACAATAAAAGTAAATAACGCAAGGTTTAGGGGTTTTCTTCTTCTACCGATCTTATTACACAAACAAACTTATATAGGGTTCATACAATAACTTGGAAAGAAAGTAACTTAGCCTAGTCCGATATAACCAAGGAAACAAAATAAACAAAGTAACGAGGCCCATTGTCTACTCGGTGGCATATTTGGGATTGGGTCGTGGAACCCTGTCACTCCTTCGTGGTCCATTCGACATGCTCACTGTCTTCGGGACAGCCACATACGCGTCAAACGCGTCATTGCCCCCCCCCCTCGAAGTGCGACCTTGCCCTTAAGGTCGAAATTCGGAAACATGTGATGTAGCTCTTCGACCTCTTCCTATGTAGCTTCCTCCTCTGGTAAATGCTGCCACCGCACCAAACATTCTTCCACCATGCACCCAACAACGCCCGACCAACGATGGTCCAGAACCGCCCAAGGCTGTACTTCGAGCTCGCCATCCTCGCTAACTGGTGGTGACGGGATTACTCCATCCACCACATCGCCCACATAACGCTTGAGGAGAGACATGAAACACTGGATGGATGCGAGAGGTAGCCGGAAGAGCAAGCTTATAAGCCCCCCCCCCTAATGCGCTTAATAATGCGATAGGGCCCAAAGTAGCGAGCTGCCAATTTCTGAGAGGCTTGACTCACTCCTACTGTCACCCTAGAAAATGGCCAAGTATAACCACTTCCTAAAGCGTAGTATAGCGGGTCGGGTTTTAATGTCAACCCAGGTCCTAGATGTGATGACTACTCGGTGAATTCTTGTTATTTAGCGGTGAACTTTTAGTGAAACTCAAGCAAACAAAACACAAAGCAAGTAAACGGTTTGTTGTCAAGTCAAGAGAGGTCACCCGGATATGGTTTCCCCCTAGACTGCAGTTAAGTCGGATGGCATTTTACCAAGTTCAGTTTTCATGAAAGTTATACTGCGGAAGGTTCTCAATTAGCCTGAAGTCTCGACTAAAGGTCTCCAGACCCTCTCAATCTGAGTCTCTAGCGGGCGACTAACCTCCACCGGAGTAAACAGATTGAGGCCCTAATGAACCAAACCTCCACTACCGAATCGACTTCGGTACAGAATAGCGAATTGGCTCCTCGACTAAAGTCACCAATTCGCTACCTTCGATTAAGGGTACTCTATCAACCTAGGCAGATATTCTCATTCCAGGTTAAAGCAGAAACAACAGGAATTTGATCAGGATTCAAGTCATTCAATCAATCAAACCTCAATCGAATATAATCAATTCACAAACACTGTACTTGGGTTCATACAATCAGACCTAGCATACAAATCTAGGGTTCTCCATACCCAGATGAATGGGGAAACTACTCCATAGAGAAAGAAGCAAAAGCAGATTCAGACACGGAAATCATACTGTGAAGTTGGATTCCTGCTTCTGGACGTTTAATCGCACTTCTCCAAGCTCAAGACGGGCTCCAATGGTGTTGAAGATCGATCTATGGCGCTTGAGAACTCTGGTTCGACGCTTTCTCTCTCTAGGTATCGGTTTCTCTCTCAAAAACTCGGAACCCTTTGAAAATTGGCCTTCTTCCTCTTTTATCAGCTGCCTGGTCGCGATACCCGGTCAAAATACCCGGTCGGGTATTTTATGGTTCGACCGGGTATTGTGAAACGCACCGTTCCACTAAAGGCGAAAATCCCCGGTCTACCACCAAAATCCCCAACCGGGGATTTAAGGCCTTCGCCCGGGCCCCCTTCTGCTTCTCACGGGTGCCCGAAAACGATAAATACCCGGTCGGGTATTTTGCCATCCGACCGGGTATTTTCCTCCTGCAGCCCCCTTAGTCCCAACTCGGCTCCTTTCGACCCAGAACTCGTTTCTCCGCCTCGATTCCAACGCCGGGACCTGAAATATGACACAAACACACAACCTGGCGTAAAATCGGCTTAAAACACGAGATTCCTCAGCACAAACGGCTCCAGAATAGGGGTGAAAATATGTATGATTATCGGTCTATCAAACTCCCCCACACTTAACCGTTTGCTTGTCCCCAAGCAAACCAAGTCAGACACTAGGTAAGCTTACAAATCAATCAACCAACACTGGGGACAAGTCATAAAGGCACAAAACACGTGAATCGCACTGGTTTTAAAACATCAATACATGCACAACCTCAATAACAACCTGGACAACCACCACAAAGGACATTCGAGTGCAGCAAATCGAGTAAAGGAAGAGTCTCCCGTCTGTTCACTAGCCAACCTAGACTTGATTCAACCACCTACTCAAAACAGTCAACTCATGCATCCAACTCAAAACATCAGAATAGAGACCGAGCAATCTAGGTCCTCACCGGGGTACAAGAGCATATAGAAAATGGAAATGAATCACTCACTCTCGACCAGTGGGGTCAGGACAATTTTTTGATGCGAAAGATGCGCATGCTATTTCTCTCAATCCCTATCATCTCTTCACCATGATGGCAGCCTCTAAATGCTAGAGTTCACATATGGGGTGTCACCACTAACTAATCAGGAGGTCTTAGACACAGGTTCAAATGACTGGCTAGGGTCTTGGACATGGGGAAAAGGCCTTTTAGGTGGTGGAAGTATTCATAGCAAAAAGGTTCCACATTTTCCAAACACACAATCACAGTCAAACAACCCGGTATTTTCTTTCTGCTATTCTGCATTACTCAATATCTTAAGAGCACAAGAGCGAAGGAGGCATAATCATCAGCATTTCCAAGCCAGACTGCTAAGAAACACTGCTTACTAGGCATTACTCAGACTGTTGGTAGTGGCTCTCTTTTGCTTTCAGTTTTTCTTTGTTTTTCTTTCATTTTTCTTTTCATTTCTTAAGAGAGCCCCCACTTCTGCATAAATTTCAAACACCTGCCCAATTTTTAAGCACTACCTCCAACACTCACATAGACTTTAGCAGAAACAGCAGAGAATATATAAAACCACTCTGTGGAACCTTCTAAAAGATGCAACAAGGGTGATTTTTTCATTATAGACCAAAAGAAAGGATAACACACGGCTCAAAGGGGCTGACTAGGGGATATGACACATCAGGACAGTCAGTTTTGGGCGTGGGCTAAGCCTATGCCCCCATCATCTTAGCTAGTGACAACGTGAATGCTACACATCATGGAAGAGGGATCTATCGCACAAGAAAGAAACGAGCAGGCTCAAATCTCACATGGCTACCTATATGCTCTATCTCACATTCTGATACCCTGAACTAGATGCATAAACG